CACTAACGGCATGAATATCAGACGATTTTTCGATGAAAATTCGGCCGATAAACAACCTATCTATGGCCTGCATTAGAAATAGTGTACCTTTGTTGGTGTGAGGAATAGTACCTCATATCATTGGGAGGAATAGTACCCCAAGGGCCGGATAAAAGCTAGCAAAGGGCCACATCTGGCCCTCAAGCCACAGTTTGGAGACACCTGCTGCAGATATAGACATCTGGGACTAATATAGTCCTGAAGCCATTGGATCAGGATGACAGACAGCTAGCATTTTTAGAAGAGGTCGGAAGTAAAAGCCTAAATATTATCAGTGTAGTTTCCTTTTAAACTCCTGAACCCATATACATAATGTGATCAAATTTTGATTTATTTTATGTTTTTTTTTTTTTTTTTATCTTTTAGTAGGGAAAAATTGTTTCTGTCCAAAAAAAAGACAGGTTTACTCAGTAAATTAGTTCACCCTTCGTAGCCCCCAACCTAAAGTAAGGCTGCCCATAGATGGTGGGCTGTTTAAAAAAAATGGATTCCACCATCCACACAAGCACGGTGGATGGAGAAATCCTCCCCACTGTATTATTGTATACTGACAGTGGGGACTCCTCTGCTGTCAGAACACAATGATCAACACTGCAGCCGTTGATTGATTGAAAATTTTCCAACATTCCAGTTTGGCAGAAGTCAGTCGATAGATCGACTTCTGTCAAGTGGGAATGACCATAGATGGATTGAAAATTCAGCTGGTTCAGCAGGGACCAGGCAAATTTCCATCCATCTATGGCTGTCTTTACCTAGAAACCCCCCAAATGGCTCCCTACTTACCTCAGCATGACAGCTAAACACACCTCCAATGTTTACCTCCTCAGGGCAGAAATCATCTTCAGAGCTGTGCAATGAGCCCCATAAACTTGAATTGGGCTGCACTGTGAGACTGGAGAATGAAGGAGTATGGTCCTAGTCTATGGCGACTCACAGATAGGTGCATCCTGCATTGTAGAAATGTTTGGCTAACAGAAAGTTGCAGCTGTCATGCTGAGTAAATAGCTGGGGGTGGTGGTAGTGGCGGCGGTGAGGTTAAGGTCAGTTTAGATTAGGAAGTAAGGGATCCATGTAGTTTTTACTAAACTAAAATGTCCTTTAACTCTCCATGGCTAGAAGTGTATTACGGTGTCCATAGCAGAGGCGTATTTGCCGTGAGGCAAACAAGGCATTTGCCTAGGGTGGCACTTTTCAGGGGGGCGGCATGGTGGCAGGCACTATGCCTCCCACTGACACCAATGATGGGGCACTATTCCTCCCACTGACACCAATAATGAGGCACGATTCTTCCCACTGACACCAATAATGGGGCACAATTCCTCCCACTGACACCAATGATGGAGTACTATTTCTCACACTGACACCAATGATGGGGCACGATTCCTCCCCCTGACACCAATGATGGGGCACTATTCCTCCCACTGACACTAATGATGGAGTACTATTCCTCACACTGACACTAATGATGGGGCACCATCATTGATATCAGTGGGAGGAATAGTGTCCCATCATTAGTGTCAGTGGGAGGAATAATGCCCCATCATTCGTGTCAGTGGGAGGAATTGTGCCCCATCATTGGTGTCAGTGGGAAGAATAGTGTCCCATCATTGGTGTCAGTGGGAGGAATAATGCCCCATCATTGGTGTCAGTGGGAGGAATCATGCCCCATCATTGGTGTCAGTGGGAGGAATAGTGTCCCATCATTGTGTCAGTGGGAGGAATAGTGTCCCATCATTGGTGTCAGTGGGAGGAATAGTGTCCCATCATTGGTGTCAGTGGGGAGGAATAGTGCCCCATCATTGGTGTCAGGGGGAGGAATAGTGCCCCATCATTGGTGTCAGTGGGAAGAATAGTGTCCCATCATTAGTGTCAGTGGGAGGAATAGTTTCCCATCATTAGTGTCAGTGGGAGGAATAGTGCCCCATCATTTGTGTCAGTGGGAGGAATAGCGCCCCATCATTGGTGTCAGTGGGCAGAGAGCTATAATAGGAAGAGGTGGAGCCTAAAGAGGAAGAGGTGGAGTTTGCAGATGAAAGGGTGGGACAAATTTAGATGCGGGGGGGGGATGTCCAATTTTAGTCTTGCGTAGGGCAGCACAAAACCAATATACACCACTGGCCCATAGGCATCAGTGCAATTAAATCAATCTTGCAGATACCAGTCTAATGTGTTCACAAGAAATCCTATGATGAGACAAATAGAGAATCTTTGAAATGCCCGGAAAAAAATCATCCTATGCGTGGCAAACGTTAGCACTAGAAAGGACCAGTGTTCACATTTTGTGATGCATTTGCTTATATTGGCTTTATATATGGGTGAGCTTGCCGTTATACAATAGCTAGTGTTCTACAAAAAAAAAAAACACACTTTTTCTTGGACTGTTGAGAGTATTATGCATGTATTGGATTGCAAATTTGCCCAAAAACACAGTGTGCTTCTTAATCAGTGAACAGTATGGCACTGATTTACTACTTAGAATACGGTTTCTCCTTGCTCATGTAGCAGAACAATTTGACCTTTCTTCTAGAACTTGTGTACACAAAGTCGGCACATCATTGGTCACAATATTCTTTCAGTTCCAATGCCTAAGATTGTTCCAAGTCTTACGCTCTGCAGCTTTCGGTTACTGTGCAGACGTCACAACTTTCTGTTTTCTTGGCAGTTACATGATAGTTTGCTGTTCCTTTTGCAGGTACACAATGCTTGCACAAGGCACAAAAGGTGCAAAGCACTGGTTCCTGGAAATTCACAGACATGACCATTCAAACGGCATCTTACAGGCTACTGATTACTAGCTTGTTGATACTTTGCAGAGATCTTGATGACCTTTATGCTAGTTGGAGTGTATTGTGTCATATAATATCCTTTTTCTGGTTGTATGCAAAGCAGACATGCATATTTGCAATCAGTGCTTGCACCAGTTATAAAAATGATGTATTTTGTCTTAAAGCTGGCCATACATTACACAATTTTCTTATTCAATTTCCTTTAGATTTACCTTCAGCTATGTAGTGCAAGGGACTGCCTGATTGCATACACATTGAAGGTGTTTAGGTTTGACCTCATATAGGAGGTTATTTACTAAAAATCTGGTGCAGCTCTTCATATAAACCAATCAGCTTCCAGGTTTTATGTTCAAAGCTTAAATGAACAAGCTGAAGTTAGAAGCTGATTGGCTACCATCCACAGCTGCACCAGATTATGAGTGCACCGGTTTTAGTCAATCTCCCCCATTATATGGTTTTTGGTAAATCTAACAGAGAAATCGTATAATGTATGGCCAGCCATACACTAAAACCCATGGAAATGTGGCCACCTGTTTCTAGAGCTAAAATTAAAAAAAAAAAAATGGTATATACCGTTTTCATTTTTGTGTGCTTTGCATGACTATAGGAAGGGGGATGGGGAACTTTTATTTCACAGTTGAATGCCTGTGGTTGCAGGGAAGCCCCTAACAGAGGCACATGGCCAGCTGCACTTTTTAGAGCAGAACAGAAAACTTGTTTCTCTAAAGACCTCCTACTAGAATAATTCACTAATTTGAAATGCAGGATCTCCCGTCTTGCAAGCTGTTGCGATAAGCAGCTGTTGCAGGAGGGTTAGAGGTCACATTATCTGATTGAATAGCAAGCATTAGCTGCCTCAGCCAAGGCTTATCTTGAGGAGCAAGCACCTTCTGTGCTAAGAACAAGGGGACAATACAGTCTGTTCACAAAGTGGGATGGCACAGAACAAAGCTGGCGCTACTTTAGGATAACATTTAAAAAAAAAACGAAAAAAAAAAAAAAAAAAAAAAAACATGCAGCTTCATTTAGGCTGATCATTAATAATGTCTTTTGTGTCCCATTGCCCAACTGTATGTAAAATATTGCAAGCTGACCATTTGTGTCCCATTTCCCAACTCTACATAAAATATTGCAAATTGACCATTTGCGTCCCATTTCCCAACTCTACGTAAAATATTGCAAACTGACCATTTGTATCCCATGTCCCAACTCTACGTAAAATATTGAAAACTGACCATTTGTGTCCCATTTCCCAACTCTATGTAAAATATTGCAAACTGACCATTTGCGTCCCATTGCCCAACTCTACGTAAAATATTGCAAACTGACCATTTGTGTCTCATTGCCCAACTCTACATAAAATATTGCAAACTGACAACCTTTTGTGTCCCATTTCCCAACTCTATGTAAAATATTGCAAACTGACCACCACTTGTGTCCCATTTCCCAACTCTATGTAAAATATTGCAAACTGACAACCAAAGTAAGTTTCAATTTGTTTATTAAATATAAAGAAATATCAAAATGAACAGAACTGTAATTGATGGAATTAGCGTAAGCACTTTATGATAGTGCTATATAGCCATGCACAGGTATGACGAAAGTCTTTGTAATATAAAGTTCATAGTTCATAGTGTTTCCTGGCTCTGCCTCACAGGCAGAAGCACTTTAATAGAAAATGCAGTTGATAAGCTTGATATACATTGCTGTTGATTAGCTTTATAAGTCCAAAGGTTTTTTTTTCTTTTTTTTTAATAGTATCCAGTCCAAACATTTCCAAAAATCCATTTAATTTTATCATGGCAAGGTGTATCCCATCCGTCATGGTCTTTCTTGTACCATCTTAGCCAAAAGATACATTTCCACTTTGCAAAAGTCCTTCCAGGCTTGCAAAACATGCAACATACTCCAACTCCACGGTATGACTGCCCCTTCAGTGCTACTAATGTAGGAGGCTTTGTACTGGTCTGAACCTTCCCTTCTGCAGATCGGTCCATGTCAAGTTTCCTCCTTACTCTTTTGCTCCACAAGAGCCAACATCTTGCCGGTCTCAGCCACAGTTTCCGACTTCAACCGGCGTAATCCACAGACTCGGGAATGCAGCCGGTGCATCCAGTTGCACAACACCGTGATAAGAATGCAAAAAGATTTTCACAATCTAATGCATGAATCAGTTCACTCGGGAAGGGTAATAGCGGGAACCCAGTCATTAACATTACGGCTTTCTTCACAAAATAGACCAAGTTTTTCCAGAGCAGGGTCTTTCCAAGCATCCTCGCTAGGGTTCTGGGAAAAGAAAAAGGAACAGAACATGAGTAAACTGCTTACGAGCAGAAAGTTGAGACACAGCCAAAGGCACAGTGCCAAGCCAAGAGAGATAAGCTGAAACACAACACTTACTGTAATAAGGATGCAATGCAGATCTTTCGGCTCTCCAGACTCATCGTTGCTGCCCAAGATTTCAGCCAGCTTTTCTGTGTCATTCAGACGTACAATGTTGATGTCATTTTCACAGCAGAAAGCTTGGATGAGGGTGAAGTGGATCTGCAGGGCTATATCGCCCTCGTCAAACTCATCAGCAGCCAGAATGCAGAAGGTGACATTGTCTGGATCTCTGTAGAAGAAAAAGAAACACGTACGTTAGTTCTGCAGTTAAAGAAAAAAAAAAAAGCACAAGTGGGTCTGTGTGTGGGCACTGTGTTACGTGTGTGTATGAGTAATAGGTGTGCGTGGGATCTATGCAAGGGAGTAGGATACTTACACATTCATTACTTTGGCAGACTCGTAGACTCCAACGGTCAGACACTCCTGTCTCTGGGCGGAGATGAGCAGCTCGTGAAGAGCCTTGCCAGCGCTGTGCATCCTGAAGAAGACAAAAAGAAATGCACTTAATACTGGAATCCAAGCATCATCAGAAGCTAACCTACACAACATACTGAACGCCAACAGTGTGAACTGGACTGAAAGCTCCTTATAAGGCTGCAGCTGTATCATCCACACACTGGCTGCTGTCACTTCAACAACTACACATGGTCTATAGATGGTCTACACATGGTCTATACATGGTCTACACATGGTCTATAGATGGTCTACACATGGTCTATAGATGGTCTACACATGGTCTATAGATGGTCTACACATGGTCTATAGATGGTCTACACATGGTCTGGTCTATAGATGGTCTACACATGGTATATACATGGTCTATACAGCATCTGATCACTAGCACGTTTTCTGGAAATCTACACTTATTAGATGAACAGCCCCCCACCTAGCCAACATATCATTGCAATAAAGCCAATAATACTAGAACATATACCCTCCAGCTCCAACATAGACTACTAGCACTCAGCAAAGACTAGAAGAAGCACGACAATTACCTTTCAGCGCTTTCCACAACGGTTTCCTGTCCGTGAACCTCTTCCAGAGTCATGATGCTTTAATGCTTCACAAAGGAATAGCTAAGAGCCAGAAAAATCAAATCCAAAGGTTTGCCGGAGGAGAATGTTATATCCAAAGAAAGTTGTAAGATCGGTGAGTCCTAAGCAGTGAGTGAGGAACACAGGCAGCAGCTCGGGCTTTTATTTAGTGACAGGCGTGGGCGTGGTTTGTAGCACTCCTTCTCTCTCATTGGCTGGCGGGGGGACACATTGTAATGCAAATCCCGATCAGAACGCTCTGGCTCGTGCCAGAAGGCCACATGGGGGAGGGGGGCTGTGCAGCGGAGCAGAGTGTGTCTGTGGTGGGCGCAGGGGGGATTTTTTTTTTTTTTTTTTACAATGACTCAAAGTCTAATGTCTTTGTGATGCTGTTACCGGGCAGACTGGAGCCTGCGGATTTCACATTTTACAAGAATACAGGGGTTACCTCAAAGGAAACCCAGAACTTTATATTGATGCCCACTGTGGGTGTTAGAAACTTTTCTTTCTTCTCACTTTTTAGCTGTGCATGATGCTCACTGCTGTGAAATGTCATGAGACTGGTCATAGTAAAACATATGAGGTCTTTGTGTCTGCACTAATGTACATTAGTCCTACATTCATTAACCCATTTTTGTTTCTATTTTTTAACCCTTCATTTGCCCTGATGACCATTGCCACTGAGACAAAATAATTATTGACTGTGATCAACGCAAAGGGGACAAATTCTCCAATGGAGACAAATGTTCCTCGTGCACACGGACGCATTTGGGCATACGCCGCATGAATTCAGCGTATTTCCACATCCAGGAGTCACAGGTGTTGGCATACAGCTGCAACCAGTACAGATCAATGACGCTATGGCTGTACACCTGTAACCACACAGGTTATACATGTACAGGGATGCAAACGGTTTGCGTCCGGGGCCACTCATCCATCCCTGTGCGCATGCAACCACTCAGATGTGCGGTTACCTGCTGGTAGGTGAAATTAGATCCTGTCTAAATTGGCCCTTGTATGTATGAATGTGAGTTAGGGACCTTAGATTGTACACCCCTTGTGGGTTAGGGACTGATGGGAATGTACAATATATATATGTAAAGCGCTGCGCAAATTGACGTCGCTATAGAAGTACCTGAAATAAATAAAAATAAATAAATCTTGATTGTACACCAGCAACTGGGACTCCCAGGCATGGAAATGCACTGAATGCTTGAGTACCCCCAAATGCATCCGAGCGCATGGACCCTAAGATGAGAGGTTTCTTGTTTTATCTCCAGGAAAGGGAAATCTCAGCAGAACACATACAGCAAAAAAAATGACTCAATAGGCATTCTAGCCCTTTCCTTTCCTAGGTTTTACATACATTTTAGAGAATAAAGCTCTGGTTGTGATGATGCATTAGGGAATCGTGTTCCAGATCAATGGCTATCCTCCTAATTATACAGAGATGCACATCTTGCGAGACTGTATTTTTTTTTTTTTTGGAGGGCACAGATCTGCACAGATAATAGGGTCACTGTGCAGCAGATTGTGAATGGCACACGCTGCTACTTTGCATTTCTATAGGAGTCACACAATGGGGGAGAGGTCTGGCGTGTGGCAGTTTGGAGATTAGACAATTGGCCCTTTTTCTCTTTTCTAGGGATACTGTCCACCTGCCACTGGGGTGGGGTTGTGTTGGGGGGGGGGGGGGGGGAGCAGAGCACACATGGATCCTCTAACAATGTCCTCCAGATGAAAAATCTCCCAACCCCCTCTACCATTCATTCCAGTGGGGGATCCCAGTTTGCTTTAACCCTTTCTGCAGCCAGCCTTTGGTTTCAGGCACGTGGATGAGGAGCTCTCCAGCACCTGCGCCAGGCTCTGTTGGTGACACATACTTTGTCTCAGCTAGTCATCTGCCATCTCCAGACAGCAGAAACCAGTTCTGGTACTGGGACCTGTACACTGGCCTCTGAAGAACACATTGCAACATTATTATTGTAAACTGGCAGACACATGGAATCAGACTAGACGAGGCGAGACACACAGGAATGTAAACCAGCAGCGCTGGAAGCTTGCACTTCTAGACGGAGCTAATCAGGGCAAAGCGCTTTAGCAGACACTGGCTCCTTCATCTGTTTTTTGTTTTCACCTTGATGTTTGCAAATATTAGGTTTGAGTTAAATATCCGTGATGTTTTTAAATATTGGAGTCAGGGGCAGACTAACAACTCATGGGGCCCCCGGGCAATAGGGGATCATGGGGCCCCTGTGTCCTTGCACAAACTCAAAAAAGCCTATGAAAAAGGTACCAGGGACATCTCATGGGGCCCCCTACTGACCCTGGGCCCTCGGGCTGTGCCCGAGTTTCCGAATGGTCAGTCCGCCCCTGATTGGAGTCGATCTCTTAGATTGTAAGCTCTAACGAGCAGGGCCCTCTTTCCTTTTGTACTAAACTGTATTGTAACCAGGGGCAGACTGACCATTTGGAAACTCGGGGGCCCAGGGTCAGTAGTAGGGGGCCCCATGAGATGCCCCTGGTACCTTTTTCATAGGCTTTTTTGAGTTTGGGCAAGGACACAGGGGCCCCATGATCCCTATTGCCCGGGGGCCCCATGAGTTTTCAGTCCGCCTCTGATTGTAACTGTAATGTTTACCTTCATTTTGTACAGCACTGAGCAAACTGTTGGCGCTATATAAATCCTGTATAATAATAATTTACTAAAGGCAAATAAACTGTTCACTTTGCAAGGGACTTTTTTCCCTTAGTGTAGTGAATGAGTTGAAGGTCTGCTGACTTCCATCATCTAATCACGTGCAAGGGGAAATCTGTTTTCTTTTCATATTTTCCATGAACAATTAGGTATTCTTTGCAAACTGAATCTTTACTAAGCTTGGGGGGAAATTCCCTTGCCGAGTGCAACTTCCCTTATAAAGTCAACAGCCTATTTGCCTTTAGTAATCCAATCCCATTGCATTTAATTTAAAGTTGCATGGCTTTATGCTTGCAAATATGTTGCATTTATAAATGCATGGTCTTAGTAACCATTTCACCACCAAACACATGTGTAACACTGTCAGTCTGATGCTTGAACATTTTGGTTTCAGCACTGTGCTTGTTTACTCTTGAAAGTATACATAAGTGATCAGTGCTACCAAAAGTTCAGTTGTGTTTCTCTGACAATGTCCCTTATCTTGCTGTGCGAAGTTTTCCTGGTAGAGTTTATTCACCCCACAAGAGACTATGCTGGGAATTGTTTGGTTCAAATAGAAGCTGTCTCCAGCGACACCTACTGGATATTATGTTGTATGACCTCAGATAGTACAGAGTCACTTGGAGCAAGCTGTCCTCACTGACCGGCCAGCACCCTTGAATAACCTGTACACACAACATCTAGGCTGCCGACAAAACACCAATTTATATGAGAAGTATGGTCTTTTGCAATAGCCTTGGTACAGTGAGTTAAAAGTAACTCTGTTTGAAAAAAGATTATGAAAAAAAAAGTTGTTGCTTGCAAAGCAGATGCTTGAAGGGTTCGCTCCTATTTATAATTAGCAGCTCAGTCAAGAAACAATGGTAGCTCACAAAAGTAGCTAAATTGATCTGCCCTTAAATTATATATCTGTAAGTCAATCACGGCTTCTGAACAAAAAAAGTAGCTTTCTGAAGAATCACAGACTTGAACATCAACTAAAATGAATTGTACCTTGAGTGCGCCCCTGTCATAACAAAAATGAGGGGCTTCTGTATTGCTCATCCACAAATGCAGATTTGTGGATAAAAGAGAGTGCACTGCATATGTGCTGATTTGTGAACAAGGGAGAGAGCACTGCCTAACTGCCTATGTGCAGACTTGTGGACAAGGGAGAGCGCACTGCCTATGTGCAGACTTGTGGACAAGGGAGAGCGCACTGCCTATGTGCAGACTTGTGGACAAGGGAGAGCGCACTGCCTATGTGCAGACTTGTGGACAAGGGAGAGCGCACTGCCTATGTGCAGACTTGTGAACAAGGGAGAGAGCGCACTGCCTATGTGCAGACTTGTGGACAAGGGAGAGCGCACTGCCTATGTGCAGACTTGTGGACAAGGGAGAGCGCACTGCCTATGTGCAGACTTGTGGACAAGGGAGAGTGCAATGCCTAGGTGCAGACTTGTGGACAAGGGAGAGCGCACTGCCTATGTGCAGACATGTGGACAAGGGAGAGCGCA